TTAGGTACACGTGCGACACACCTCCGCTCACGCCACTGTCTCATGGCTAGAGGTGGGCGTTTATACGAAAAGCACTTAAAAAAAGTTTGCTTTTTAAAATAAGCACATAAGCACGCTTTTCAATTGAAGGGTAAGCGTTCGTCAGTTCAATACTTTACAATTTGATTTTTCACCGTGCTTATGTTTCAAGTCCCGACATCTATATTTCCTAAACAAATAAATTCGTCAATATGAATAATCATTTTATAAATATAAATAAAACTCGTATTTTACAAATAAACTTACATAACTGAATCCTTTACTGATCTATTCGCTATGAACATATTGCACTTTGTTTAACATAAAAGCCTATGCGGTTAAACGTTTTTCTAAACGATTTTGTAAGCTTCACACTAAAAAGCGTTCACGTGAAAAGCGTTTAAAAAGCACACTTTTTTTAAAAGTACAACGTTTTAACGTTTACAAAAATAAGCATTTTTTCCCATCTCTGCTCGTGTTGTAATGGCAACAGCAGCGTATATATTGGCTATTGTTTAAAGCACATTATGTCAATACACTACGGGTCGTATTCCAGAACTCTACTCTTTGCATACTCAAGTCTTGACTTGAGTATGCATTGTCCCGGATTCGAAACCACGACCCTGTGCTAGAGAGGCGGTAGGTCAAACCATTAGGCTACCACGGTTTCTCGGAATTTAATTTAAATCCGAATAGAAGGATTTAAATTCATTGTGCCATATAATACTGACTTGCTGACTGAGTACAAGTGGTTACCAATTCGGCTATAACAGTCAATTACGAGAAATACATATGGACTCCTGACAGTAAACCTGAAAAATCAATAATGACAACAGTTGCGTTGGAATTCGCGTCTTTTCATAGTCACAGGAAGGCTAGATCCCGAAACTAAGCTCTTAACTATTATTACTTCGCTTTTTTTTAACTACAGATATACTTTGATACGCAATTTAATATACAGCCTGCCCTCACCCCTGTTGAGTATACACCTGGATGAGACTAGCGTTGATAGTTCACATGTCTTTTATTCAGTAGGAATTTATCAATCTTTCACTGCTTTTACGAGTAGTACAAGTTCGAGTGAGATGCACGACTGAACGTTGCCAGCTCGTTTTCTATGTAAATAGATTATGCACACGCTCATAGCTCCGCACTAGGGAAACCCTTATATTGCGGGTGCCATGGACTAGACAACCATAAATTACACCCAAGCTTACGAGATAAATAAATGGAGGCCATACAAATATCTCGCCCGGCCGGGAATCGAAACCGGGACCTTCTCGTAGCAGACTAGCACTGTAACCGTTTGCTTACAGGGACAGTTAATGTAATGGTATCGTAATTTAATGCGCCTTGCAATTTAATGCGTCTCGCAACTTAATGCGCCCCGCAATAGTTAATTTATTGCAATCATGTGGTAGACTATGACGTACATTCAAAATTTTTTCGGTACCTAAATATGTACTCTAGTAGGGTACCTACAGCAACCTAATAAACAGTACTATTATCATTGATTGTCCACGACAAAAGATATTTGCCTAATATGTAATACAAAACAATATTTACATTTACATTGTATTATTAACATGCATTCATATTATTAATGAATCTTTAGATGAATGATTAATTCATAATTAATTATCGTTGCTCTTCATTATAATATCAATTTCATGATCAGACGCTTAGCCAACTTGCGTGAAGTTATAGGTATAGTAAGTGTAGATTACTTGGAGTAAACGTATGTATTTATTTAACTCCGGTTGTTCTACTTCGAGCCACTTGACACTTGTTTATTTTATTTGAAATATTACGAAATTCCACTAGACCACCTTACCACTTAAATAATATCTGTACCTCTTCCCTGCGATACTTAAGAGCAATGTTTTCCGTTTGGATTCATAAATCCAACAAAAGAAACACAACATAATTTTTTGCGATATGAAATATCCACTAATCAATTTATTTAATGAAGCGAGGTGTACCTAAATGAAATTAAATATATGTATGTCAATTATTGACACTAATGGTACCAATGACAATAATTGATACCTTTGTACTTATACAGTAATTACAAGATCTCATTTGGGTATTTTATTACATGTCACTTCACACCAATATGAAATGTTTATGTGAATTAAAACACTTAAAGGTATCATCATGTTACACATTTTTACATTTACATAATTTGTTTCATGTAGTTTGTGTTGAGTTTCCCAGCAAGTGGATCTAAAAATGAACATGGACAAGACGAAACTTATGTCGAATGTCCATGTTGTAACCCATATAACAGTGGGAACCACTACTCTCGAAGTTGTTGACGAGTATGTCTAACTTAAAGCCAACTTCGAGAAAGAGGTCAATCGTCGAATCCGACTCGGTTGGGCAGCTTTCGCGAAGCACCGGGACGTCTTTTGGTCCGCAATGCCGCAGTCTTTGAAGACATAATTGTAAGTACTTACACAAAAGTGTAAGTTTAGATATTTTTTTACAATTAATGTAGATGTATTATGGTCCCACCAGGGATTAAAAATGACCGAGCTATCGCATTGCACTCCTGCAGCGGTCAAATTCGTGGCGTTGTAACTCATTCTTGAACACAAAAGCGCCTGACAAAAATACTATTGCAAACGATCTGTTTCCAATTTACTTTTATGATTTTTGATTATTTACAAGGAGATTACGCATTTAGTAAGAAGGTTTTATTATTTTGTAAATGTATAATAATTGTAAATAGATTATTAATGTAAATAGGTAGATTTCTTAACTTATTTATCCTGTTAATTAGCGTAGCGACAACGTTTTGTTTTTCACATTTTGTCAAACTGTCATAATATATATCGGTACCGTTTAGATTTCTCCGAATTACCAATTCTGATACCTTTGACCTTTAGATAGATAAGAGGCTAACCAGTCAGGTGCTAATCCTCGAATTCCATGATTTTCTAGCTTCTGAAGAAGCAAGTTATGAGACACAAAAATCAGAAGCGCGACGGACATAAAAAAATATACTAGATATTTCTTATTTACATTTTCGACTATTTCTTGCACCAAATGGAAACCTTCCAATGAAGTAGATTTATTTTGTTGGAATCCAAATGGTTCTGAGCTTATTGTAACACAATACTTGGAATTTGCTTCCAAGTATAACAATACTTGGAAGCAAATTTGAGCAGACTTGTTATCATAGCTTTCTCTGGAAAATTTTGAAAAGCACCGGAATGAATGTAATTGGACGGTAATTGGCCATATCAGTTTTCGCACCTTTTTTCTGTAGAGAATAACAATACATATTTTAAGCAATTCAGGAAAAGTACTAGTTTCAAATGAAAGATTCACCAAATAAATGAGCGACTCATTTAGCTCATTAGCACAATATTTGATTACTCTAGTAGGTAGATATATCATCGTATCCTGTCGAATTTGTACTTCTTAATTATTTTACTATATTATGTATTTACTTATTATACATTTCTATTATATATTTTGTTATACATTTTTCTTTAGAGATGTGCAGTAATGTACCAAGGTCCTTGTCCTGTCAGAAGTACAGCAGTAACTTTGCAGTAGCAGGCCATGCAACGAACCAATACTAACCAATTTTAGTCCTTTGAAACTAGTACTGCCCGTTACTATTTGTTCAGAAAGTTTTAGGCTATATATGTATCATGTTTTTTTAAACATCCACACTCAACAAAGCCCCGCACTGGGTAAACCCTGCATCGCGGGTGCCATGACCCACACATAGACAACCACAAATTACACCCAAACTGACGAGAGGAATAAATGTGGCCATACAAATATTTTCAGGAATCGAACCTGGGACCTCTGCGTGGCAGTCCGGCAGCGGCATAGTAATCGTTCGGCCACGGAGGCAGTTTACTTATTATACGTTTGTATAATACGTTTGGCAAATAGGTACGCATGTATTTATTTCATTGTATAAATACAATGAAATAAATTGAAAATATAGAAAATTGTTTTTTTTTTTAATTGAGTTAACCGTTATAAAAGCAGTTAGATTTAAACGTATTGTTTTTTTTAAAACGTAACGTTTTTTAATAATAAATTTATAGAACCTGCTAGTGTGGAATGGAGTGTAAGATTTTAAAAAAGTTTCGCTTTTTCGCTCCATTTTTTCTGCATTTTAATTTCCTTCTATGTTTGAATTTTAAGTATACTTTTGGGTAAATACGTCTATAAGTTAAATATTCATTAGATATAAATTAACAACAAACTTGTTTATACATATCTTGTTCGGTAATATATGTATGCACGTTTCCTTCTTTAAACTGAGTCATTATCGAGGTAATTAATTGGTTATTATGATGAAGCAGGTTTTAAGCGCAGCTTACCTTAAGGAAAGCTTTATCTATAGAAAATCCCCGTGTTGGAACCAGTTTCAAGAAAACATCATAACGTCATTGCCATGCCGTAGTGTTGTAAACATAGTGATTAAATATTATTTAGTTTTTCTTGTTGATTGTTACACTTAAAGTTCAAGGATGAATAAATAAAATGTTAGACAACATTACATCCGTTGTTCTGATCCCAAAGTAAGTAACAAAAGCACTTGTGTTATGGAAATCGGAAACAACGATGGCACCATACAAGGCCAGACCCGACAATACACAAAAAATAGTTGTGCTACCTTGACCCGGCCGGGAATCGAACCCGGGACTTAAGAGATAGCAACACTATGACAATCGATGTGCAAGCCACTTGATCACGGAGGTCGTTGCAATAGGGACATTTTTAGAAGTATATTTCCGACTTCATCGTCACTTATGTGATTTTTGTCATTTGTAATTATGCTTGTTTCTAATTAAAAAATAACAATATGGTATAAGGCGGATTAATTTATTCTTAATAGTTACAAATCGTAATATAAATGACACGTATAAACAAACTCTAGTGCGTACATGACCGGTACGAGATGCGCACGAGTTTATAAGCACAACACTGATGATCTTAAAGTTAGTGACGCTGTGACCACCACTGTGTAACAAGCGTACATAATACATTATATTCGTAATTATAAAGTAAACTTGTAAAATACATTAATATTTTTGCTTTTAATAAAATAATTGATACATACAAAAAAATGGAGAAGGTGTATATTTTTTTGGCACTAGGTAAGTTTTGTTTTTTTTAAATATTTTTTCTGTTTCGTTGACAACCTTGTAGTCGTTATCGTAGGGGTCAGAGGGTGCGCGGTAGTGTGCGGTTTCGTTTCCGCGTTCTCATCTCGAAAGGCGAAACACCGTCAGGTTTTAGTCGGTACGAGTCCGACATAACCCATCGTATCCCCGGGCGGAAGAGGGAGGGAGGAAGGTAGGAGAACCCATTTCCTGACGTAAAAAAGGGGTCAGACAGACTTTGGTAAAAAAATATTGAATAGATTACATCAATTAGCTGGCTCTAAGCGAAAGGTGTAATCGTAATCCCGTATATTTTCGAAAATTTATAAGGGCAATAAACCTTTTTAATTTATAGAATTGTATTTATAATATATTTACCTACAAGGGTGAATATAGTTGTTGAGAGCAAAAAATTACCTTCGATAGTCAAACACTCGTTATTGAATGTTATTTAAATGAACATACCTAGGTATATGTTAATTCATGAGCTGTATAAGACAAAAGTTATTTAGAGATTGTTCAATTATTCCTTAGTTATTGATTTTGGCTTTAATTATGAAAGTATTTTTGTAATATCACTTATTCATACCATTGTGCTAATTTTCAGCTATATTTGTCAATGTCGCTGTAGCAATGAACTTAAGGCATAAGAGGCAGTCAAATGGTGCAAATGAGAATAATTTGGATGAAAGATATGGTTCGGATAGACCTCGTGATTTACCACAGTGGGGCAATCAATGGGGCAACATGAATCAACCCTGGGACCAAAATCAGTGGGGCAATTCTGGTGAGGACCAAAATCAACAGTGGCCTTTCCCAAACCAAAATGGCCAGAATGGTGGAAACTGGCCAAACCAGAACGGTCAAAATGGCCAGAATGGTGGAAATTGGCCTAACCAGAACGGCCAGAGTGGTCAAAACTGGCCAAACCAAAATGGCGCAAATGGGCAAACCCCGCCACCTACACCAATACCTAATGGGTAAGTTTAACTTATCATTTAAATAAACATATAAAAGTGATAGGTTGAAAAATATGCTTATATATATTTTTACCCAGAATGAGCAAGAGCACAACAGACGTTGAATAAATATTTTTGAAGATGCCGTTCTACAAAAAAATCCAGTTCTACAAAATTATTAGGCACCATTTATCGTTTTGCGAGATGATAATTAAATTTGTTAATGTGGTGTATTTTAATGAAGGAATATTTATGGTGAGATTCGGTGTTTTTCGTCACAACTATTTTTCTTAAAGACTTCTGTTGTTATCGGCTTGAAATTTGTTGAACTTGGTTGCACTAGACTATGCTTGGCGAAAAAAAAATTAGACACTTTTGTAGTAATACTTTATTTTAATCGGGTTTAAATTGGGTGATCAAAATCGAAAAATAAAAAGGATTTCTTTGTACATTCTAAAACCATTGCTCATTTCAGTTAGAGTATACTTCTTCATTTATGTAATTATATATGATAAACTTGTCTCCTTTTCATTGTTTACCGTCTTTCTAGTATACCGCACAAAAAATAAGTAACCTTTTTTTCAGAAGTTCCACCCAATCTCCCCAAATGATGGCGTGCATCTCATCCTGCCCAGTGACACCTGAGTATAACCCTGTGTGTGGTTCTGATGGTACCACGTACTCCAACCCTGGCCGTCTGACTTGTGCTCAATTTTGTGGATTGAGTAAGTGTTTGATTTACTTTACTATGTTATTAACTTAGGCTGAAATGGTAGATATAAATTTAAAAATATATATAAATAGCAAACTAAAAAAAATAGCCTTCCCAAAGATCATATTTATTTGGGATATAGACACTTCTTACCTACTTCATTTGATATGTACGTGCAACATGCGGCTCAAAAACTTACAAATACAATGATCTCCTCCCAGTCACAACATAATACGAAATGTTGAATAATTGTAGCAATAAAAACTAAACAACGGTCATACCTATTAACACAGGAAAAACAGAGGTAAAACCCCTGAGAGTGCAAAAGATACACAAAGTATCCATTTATTACAGTATTTTACGTACTAAATGGCAATCTGTCCAAGACTTGCAGTGTATCTAAGATGAATATAGCTGTTTGCTATATTGTTACTTGCTAAAAACCATAACACGTACATTAAACGTGTGCAGTAAAAGCAAATAACATTCGTACAAAATACTTTTGCTTGTAACTTGTTCTGTCTGTTCAATCATTTATTACGTTAGCATCTGTTATCGTATTTTTATTTAGGTCATAATTTTTCTTCAAATGGACTTGACCGAACTGACTGAATTAATAATAATCTATGGCGGCTGATATCTTAACTCATATTTGAAATTATGTTTATATTACATCAACATACTAATGAATACTTCAAGTTGATTGTTTTTACGAAGTCTACTGCGTGGTCGTATAACTGTCAAGGACAAACTAAACTTGAACTGAATATGCACGAATACGACTTTGAAACGAGTTTTAGAATACGACTCTAAGAGCATTTCACTTCCCACATTTATATTTATTTATCTAGAACTCAATGCTCAAGTCAGGACTTGAGTATGATTCAAAGCACTCGAAATCATACTCAAATCCCTGCCATTAGGCTCGTATTTCCAGTGCTTGTGTTTCCAGTGCAATCCTGACTTGAGCATTGAGTAGAGTTCTAGAATACGACCCGTAGTCAACTCGTTGTTTACATCGAGTCGACTGCGCTTCTTCGGCAAGCGAATTCGCTTGACGAAGGCGGCGCAGCCAATGTGCTGTTTACACCAAGTCGACTGACACCAAATCATTCTAAATGCGAAATTACATACACAGGCGCAACAAAACGTTCTAAAGTTCAACAAACTGATCGGGTAGGTGGGTATTCCCCAGTCCCCAGCACGCGATCGTGTCTTGAAATTTGTTTCGTCGACTGTCGCTTGCCGAAGGTGACCGAGTTTCCTCGCAGTGATTATACCTAGTTGATTCGATCGATTTCGGCAACGAACTACGGCTGTTAAACGACTCAGTGTTTACACTGGGTAAATTGTTATTGAGGAAGTGGGTAGGCAATCGAAGGCGACCTGTCGACCTAGTGTAAACACGCCATTCAAATTAAAATAATGAATGTATCAAAATAAAGACACGTAAAGTAAAAAAAAAAACATTCGACAAAGATATAAAATATGTTACGTACTTATGAAAGTCTCATAAACCACATGATAATTCCAAAAAGTCTCATAAACCACATGATAATTCCAAAGTCAGTTATGATAATTATTTCATTGTAGGCAACTTGCACCTTCTCGATTTGATAGACTTTGAATGAAAGGGTCTTCAAATCAGATTAACATAAAAGTTAATTCACCTTTTGCTTATTTACTACTTACTATCAAGATTATACACTATTTGGTTTCCATTGTTAATACTTGTAACATATTGTTAATATTAATGTTTTATTAAAACTTATTTTCAGACATAAGCCAGATCCGTGCTTCACGGTGTCCCCCCACCACCACCACAGCAGCGCCACAGTAGATACATTACTTTTAAATTATATGCAATTAAGACACAAGTAGCTAATGGAATTTATGACTGAATAAAAACAACTTTATTACCACAAAGAAGTAATATTTTTATTGGCATCCTTTAATTTCATTCTTTAATAATAAAATGTACAAATACTTCGTCTCAATGGTAACATAATGTACACACGCCAGCACATCAAGCTACACATTGACGTATCTTGTTCCGTTGCACTGGAGGCGATTTTCGAACAAAAATGTGTAGTCTGGTGTGCCGTTGTCTGTACATGAGTTACATGCATAAGTTTAAGGGTGTTGCTATGACACAGACTGGTTTGCGAACTGGAATTTACTGGCAAAGCGGTTTGTCAGGTTCATATGTACATGGTTAGAGTACATTCACTTCTTCTACACTTGTTCATACAAATCTTACTCGAAAAGATAGTTTTATGCATTGAATTATATCTTACTTAGAGGCTATTTGTGTTTATCAATGACCCGTATATACTCGTGGATACAGTTTTCATACTTCTACAAACAGTCAGACGATTTATCACTGTCTATTATGACACATTTGCGGTCATTGGAGGTATTTTTACTATAGAAATATAAGGAGGAAAGATCTTAAGTCTCCACTGACAATGAAAACCTGTGATTGTGCTCATTATCTTATAAAAATACACATAGTAGTGCTGCTTTAGAAATACACGGTTGTAATATATTTCTTACTAAGGTCCGGTAGTTCCGTACAGGGAACTCTGCCACTAAATGACTTATTTAATTATTATTAGATTCAGGAGGCCCACCACAACCTCTTAAAACAATATTACTTTAACCTTACCTTGTCTTTATTAAAGTAAGCTTATTACAATGTTAAAACTATAATATTTTATTGGCAGCTTTGTGACTATTCATTCACTCAGTTCGTACTATGACGCGACTTTAACATAGAAAGCCATATTTCATAGTACGTCAAAGGTCGTGGCATGCGTCGATTCGACGTTTGACCGTTTAAGTACACATAATTTTGATTCTGTGTATATTTATTTGTGCCTGTGGTAATGTATCAATATAAGAATAATTTTGTTATGTTTAAAGTATAAACAAAACATCGAGGATTATTTGTATTTTTATTTAAAAAAATCGATATCTAAAATAGGTCTTTCTCATTTGCAAAACTAAGATATATTGAGGTGTAAAATTAAAATTATAACTATACATTTGAGAAAATCATTAAAGCATATTATGTAATGTAATTTACAATAAGGACAAGTGTTAGACTTGTGCTTTCCGCAAATGGGATTTTTCATTTCGTCACACATTGATTTTGTCATTTTTTTAATTTTTTACAGACAATATACACAATATTACTTTTTGTTTAGCTCAGGTGTATTATTGTTATTATTATTATACATATTAGGCCTTAGGATCAAAAAGGCCGTAGTAGCCTAATGGTTTGTCCTACCGGCTCACAAGCAGAAGCCGTTGGTTCAAACCGGGCTCGCACCCCAGAGTTTTTCGGAATTGCGAAATTTAATTTGAAATGCCATGAGCTTTTTGGTGAACGAAAACATCACGATAAAACCTGCGCATCGAAGAAGGTTCACAACCCTCGAAAAACGTGAGAAGTCCCCAAATGGCATTGCGTCAGCATGGCGTACGGACTACGGCCTAAAACCCTCGCCTGAGAGGAGGCCCGTGCCCGGCAATGGGACGTATAAATATGATGTTGTTGATGATGATGATGAGATCTTTGTATCTTTAGCCGAATTTAGTACTTTGTACGTCGTCTTGTCATTATCATCTCTTTCACTGTCTGACCTTTCGACCTCTTCGTCACTCAAATCTAATAGTAAACGGGATATTTCTGCATCTTCTACAAAACCTCGTCACATCATTTTCTTGTAATAAGGAAAGCCTGTATTTTTTATTAATCATTAAAAATATAGGCAGCAAAAGAGTATCCAACTATTGATTTGGCTGAGCCTTACTGATGGTTCTGCGCTATGTTCAATTCGCGCGTCTCGTGAGGAGATTTTCAAGTTGCTAAATGATCTTAATACAAATAAGGGTGCCGGCGCTAATAAGATGCATCCAATATATACTAAAAATTCGGCTCCAGCTTTAGCCTATCCTCTAACAATCCTATTTAACCGCTCTCTAAGTGATTATAGTGATTGTAGTGATATTTCCGAAATTATGAAAGGAAGGAAATGTAGAGCCAATTCATAAGAAAGGCTTAAGAAGCAAAGTGGAGAACTATAGACCCATATATATATATATCCATTTTGAGCTGCTTTGATAAAATCTTTGAAGAAGAAAGAAGAAGAAGATTGTTTTTACCACAAGATTGCTAACGCGATTCCAGAGCAGCAACATGGTTTCATAAAGCGTCGTTCGGCTACTACAAATCTCGCCGTTTTCACTAGTTCCATTTTTACTATGGAGAAACATAAGCAGATTAATATGATCTACACAGACAATGAAAAAGCGTTTGATCGTGTGGATCACATCAATCTGGTACTAAAATTGGAAAAGTTTGGAATATGCGGGAACCTCCTTCGTTGGATAGAGTCCTGAATATCTGACGAATCGCTCGTAGGCTGTGGTCGTGGGTGGATATAGGTCTGGTCTGGTGACTATCCCTTCCGGAGTACCTCAAGTTCTCTCCTTGGTCCCCTTTTCTATAATGCTTACCTATACGATGATACGAAAATATATATTGATGTCACGAACTCTGATGATTGTGACGAACTGCAAGTGGATTTAAATAGTTTATCAAACTATTATAATGCAAATAGTATTAAGGTTTTTCTCGTCGTCGAGGTGGTGGTATAGAATACACCTATAAAATCAATGGGGCCATAGTCGCTAGAACAGGTGTGGTGCGTGATCTAGGTGTCTCTCTGGATCATAAATTATTGATGGACAATCACATTAACTATATAGTTGATAAAGCATTTAAAAGCCTTGGATTCTTAAAGCGAGTTTCCCACGAGTTTTCTAATGTAATGTGTCTTAAAACTTTACATTTCGCATATGTAGGAAGCACGTTGGAATACGGTAGTACAAAATGGTCACCTTTATACAAAATCCATAAAACCCGAATTGAACGCATCCAACATAAATTTACACAGTTTCTAAATTTCCGTACTCACTATGACTTCCGTACTCAATGTAATCATGAAGACTAATGATTACATTGAAAACTGTAGAATCTTCTTACATTACAACAGCGCAGAAATTTCTTTGATGTAATCTTGTTGTATGACATTAACTCAAGAATTGATTGTCCGTCTTTGATCAAAAGTATAAACTTTAACACCCCCTTAAACGCACGCGCAATGCTTTGTTCACCTGCGCACCGGACAAATTATGGTCAAAATTCTTTTATTTCGAGTAATTTGTAAGGCAAATTTAAAAAAATGAAGTAATAAAAACATGACGAGAAATAGTAGTACAAACACATAGTACTTGTAATATACAAGTATGCACACACACACACACACACACACACACACACACACACACACACACAC